AACATTAATAAAATTCTCAATATTAAATTTTTCATCATTTGAAAATCATATTGTATCATGTGAGAGTTTCTCAGATACAAGAAGCAGACTTACGTGATAAGAATAGACTGGTTTTCCCTGTCTAAAAAGAAAGTTTTAAAATTGTCATTGGCACACCGTGTGATTTTTGGCAGAATTGAACAGAATTGGATAAAAGAGGTAAATCATTTGGGGAAAAAACAAAACTGAGAAATTTGTCTCTGTTCTCGTTTATCATTGCACTGAGCTGTGTTGTGATTACCTGCAAGCATGTACTGGTAGGCATTGTCAGAGATAGAAAAGATGTGAGGAGGAGCTTCACTCCTCTTCTTCCCTCTGTAGGCAAGGACAACTTCTTGGTTGTACACTGGCAGCCACTTGTAGGGGTTGACAGTTACACAGAAAAGCCCAGAGTAGGTCTACAAACAGAGAGAGAAATCTAGGTTCACTATTTTTTCACACATACAGAAGAGCTGTATAGATCAAGAACTACACGTGTCTAACTCACGTAGATCATCCAGGCTGCGTAACGCTCTTTGAGGTTAAACAGCACAGCAGGCTCGTGCAGGAAGGTGAACATCGCCATGTCCTCAATTTTATCAAACTTTGGCGGGTTTTGAGGGTGAACATCAGCCTCCTTGACAGTCACAGTCTGTGGACGAGTATATTCATATATTACATTTTGGTCAAATAGCAAAAATGTATTTTACAATAGCTATAAAAGAACAGCATCATTTTGTAAACACACTTAAAATAAATATACAGCATTTTGGATTGAAAATATATATGGTATTAATCATAGTATAGTAATATAGCACTGATGTTTCTTGTATGTGTAAAGCCCACTCCCCTCGCAATGTATATAACAAAGTAAAGGCATATATTTACCTTGCCATTGGAGGTCTCGCATGTGACTTTGTCTCCATCACGACTGATAATAGTTCCTTTCACATACTCCTCTTCAGGATCAGGGCAGAAGCATTCCTTCTTCATGTCGAAGGGGCGAGTTTGGGCCTCCAGACGCTCCCTGTCTGACTTCCTCAGGTATGGGGCCGCAGCCCCGAACTCCTCCATCTGAGCATCTCCCATCTTTCAGCCTATCTGTAAAGGATGCCAAGCTTGAAATTTGGTTTAAAGTAAATTCTTAATGTCTTTAAATAAACACAAAGCATCGAACAGTAATTAAAATTAATGATCTCTATAGCCAAAGTCACCACTAAAAACCTTTTAAGACCCATATCTGCTTATTGCTTACCTCTGTTGTTCCCCACCTCCTTAGTGGAATTGATGTTACTGTTGCCCTAGAACCACACAATTGAACATATAAGGGCAAGCAAGCTTGTTAGACTTAATATATATTCAATTCATGGCTCTTGAAACAAGGAACTGTCCAATACAGCCTTTTTAACCCAAATGACATACTCTTAAAAACTCAATGAAGTTTCTGTGACAATCATTTAGGATTGTGACACCTCCACAGCTATAAGATAGTGGACAACGTTAATGCAAAAGCTGGTCTTTTGAAGGCATGTTTACCGTTGGATGATGGAAGTTCAGAATCCGGTCAGTGGGCTGGTCATCCTCTCCCCTCTTTTATAAAGCAAGCTCCCTCTAAATATGGTATCTGGCATTGTTAGGCAGGAGAGCTATTTTGTTTGATTGAAGTGCAGAAGGGTGGGGTAAAGAGGCTTTTCCACATGATAGTGATCGTGATGCATGGGGAGAGGGAGAGGGGAGTTGCACATTTGCCAGCTACCAACCACCAATGGAAAACAATTACAAAGGATGACTTAATGGATTATAAAAATGTATCTAGCAAATTATAGAGATTATTGTACATTTTACATGCATGTATGAGTTCTGTTTGCTTTGAAGTGAAATGTAAGCTGCACATAACTTGTTTGTGTTCCTAATTTTGAAGGTGTGATACCCAGTGGCCTTGTGCTCGGTAAAGGTAAGTGTGGTTAGTTCAGCTGTGTATAAGATCTGCCTATTGTTGTTTACATTGTATTTGATGCATTTAAGTTATGAGTCTCACTGTAAAACAGTGTAACAATGTTTATGTCAGTTGTGTAAGCAATGTGGCCAATTATAGATGCAGTCCTTTTACATGGTTCAAAAGCCTCGTGCCTCTTCATAAAGCTAGTTAAAACTTTAATTCACTAGGCCAGATGCCTTTTTTATTACTTTCACATTGTAATTAAACAAACGAGGAACAAGTAGAAGTAACAAGAATTTAGTAACATTATTACAAAACAAATGTAATACATTGTTTAGCTTAACTCCTTAAATGCCTCCCTTTATCCAAACAATGCGTCTTGAACAGGGGAAAAAAACCACAGCTGCCTCCCACAAATGGCTTTAGCTGTCTGTCATAGTTAGCAGCAGTTAGCAGACATAGGTTCAAGGTCAATCAGCAGCTGTTGAAATGATTCCTCGTCTCATTGGCGCATTGTTGTCTCCTCTCCTTTGTCCTTGAGTATAAAGATAACTCTGTGAAATTCCTGTTGAGTGACAGCCTGTGATTGAGAAGCACAGGTTGCTCTGCAAACAGGAGCGCGCCAATTTAAGTAACACTCTGCACAGATCCAGTTAAAGGGAATGTAAAATAAGGCCAAAGTGGACTCCTGTGTGTTTTATAAGAGGGGCAATTCTACGACAATGCTCAAGTGTTTGTACTTAAAGAGTGAGAATGTTATTGTGTGGTAGACTATGTGGTATCTCATGGTACCATCTTTCTAACCAAAGGGAGTATTTTATTACTGTGATGATGACAGATTTGGACGCCCTTTCAGCACTGCCAGGTATTTGACCATGTCAGTGCTGTAAATCATCTATGAAAAGAAAATAATAAACACTTCTTTTTTCCTGAGTAATGTCACTTAAGGGCAAGGAGAACATTTGTATGCATGTAGATGTATGCTGCTTGCAAAAAAAAAAAAACATTTTAATAAAAATTTTATGGACATACTGTATGTTTATATGTGTCATCTTTTTCCCAACAGTAATATTACATTTCGTTGTCAGTTTCTTATGAAGATACAAACAACTATAATAACCACCATCTTGGTTTCATTATTGACCAGCTTAAAAATTATATGCTGCTCATAGATCTCCATATTTTACTATTATTTGTTTGTTTTTTTACATGTGAAGCACAGCAGCTGTTCTTTATATTGTTTGAAAAGTGAATGGACCAATAAAAATGCACCAAAATTGCTTAGAATAAAGTCTCTTTAACTTACATTAAAGTATATAATGTTCTTGCCTTCAGTAAAGTTACCATTTTGGTTATTTTAATGAAGCATGTAATGTCCGATAGAATAATTAGGACGTGTGAAGTGGTGAAGAGAAAGCTGACATTCCATTCCAAGTGAGAACAGCAAAGAGACAGAGGTCAGTCCACTTAACAAGGTGCAAGTGTCTGTGACTGTGCATTAAGATTGTTTTCATTTTCAGTACCTTCTCACTATGTCAGAAGTTGCCCCCTGGAGGCCTAGTTAGGGCCACCACTCATCAACTACATATCAATTACACCACTGACCTAAAGGATCAACCTGAATGGGCAGGTATATGTGGTCTTTGAGGCTCATTTTGCTTCATTTGTAATTAGGAGAAAGCACTTTATTTTTCCACCCCATAGGATAGTCCTTATCTCATACAGCTTTCTGAAGCACCCCACAAAATCCCTACGTGTTTCTGTATACAGTGGGTGTTTGTCTTTTAACAGTAAGATTTCCTACATTTCTGACCAACTTAGCCTTTTCCCAGAACGGTGGGACAAACATAGCCACCACAGGGCAGACTGACTGACATAGTACCCATACCACATGCAGAGAGGGCTGCTGCCTGGAATTGTAATGTGATGAATCAGTGTCCTTGTCCAAATAACATTTACACACTGCCATTGCTTATAAGGCAAGAAGAACACAGTATTTATAGCACACAGTATTCATAGAGGCATTTATATTGTACTTTTACCAAGACAAACGTACAAGTGCAAATTCTAGTATATTGTTTGAAAAGGTTTGTCATAATCACATTTTACATTTCTATCAGTAATATGTAATATATATTTATGCCAATGCAGTACATTTGCTGTCTGCTAAATCTAAAGGAAAAAGGCACAGTGAGTGCTTGGTGTTGTGTATGAAATAAAAAAGCACAAATGTTCTGTTACAGAAGGTTCTCTAGTTGGGTTAATGTTATGATTTCATCCCAGCTTATCCTACTCTTTGTCAAAGCCCTGAGTAAACTTAATCGCTAATGCCACAGAGCATATTGGAGCCCACCAACTAATTCAGCTGTTTTACAACCTGTACCGCTTTAAAGGAGAGGATTATCCCAGTGCCTTCAACACAGCCCTGCTAAGATCTCAGCTTTGATTCTGCTGTTCACAAGGATTTCAGGTAGAAAAGAAGGACAAATGTCAGTCCAGCAGCTGACAGCAGCAGTAAAAGAACAGGTACTGGTGAGAAAATTATTGTAACATTCAGCTGACTTCATTTTTGGCAGCAGAAGTATAATCACATAAAGGTATGACCATGGAGCTTTCCCACAAATTTCAGGGCCCTGTTCAAAGGAGACTCTTAAAGCACTCACTCCTTCTAAAGACAGTGTTTTTGCTCTCTTGTCCACCAGCTGTTAACTCCTGTACAACCACTTACCCACAGCTCCTCTTGAGTTCATGACTGTAAAATGTACTGGTGGTCTTTAGCACAATGGCCTTTGAAGAACATGGAGCCAACAAGATGGCTGTGTACTATTTTTGGAACAGAACCAGTATACATTTGTACAAATCGCCTTATAAACAAAGAGCATTGATGTTGATTAAAGAGCTAAAGTCTGTTGTCTGGATTATTCCCTGAAGTGACTGTGGAGGGAAAATACAATAGTAATTTTTTTTATTATCATATTTTCTCCCAAAACCAGTGTTGCTAGATTTTGCTACTTACTATGTTTGTACAGAGACAGAATCAATGTTTGTTTTTGACATTTTTATTTTCAATGAAGCTTGTTAAAGAGTTAACATAATCACACCACTTTTATTACTCGGTAAATAATCTGAAGCAGTCAGTCATTTCTATTCTCCAGTACATTTGTATCAACTGTTATAATATCATTCATATCATTATTACTACCAATAGAGAATTATTAGGTGCATTTATAAAATAAACTAACTCAAACTAACAGATGACAGGTTACAAGAGAAGGCTATGTTACTTCAGTTTTCTGGCCCTTTTTCCACTTTTTTGCTCAGACTCTGGAGAACTCAGCAAAAGGCCAAATATAAAGTCTGAGAATATAACTCTAAAAAAAAGCCTGGACAAAAAGCCAACATCCTACTTAACTAGTGCTCCACCCTCTTTACCCTGCACACTCAGTAATACTGACTCAACCTGGACGGTTTGCAAGAGTGAGGGTTATTTAAAGTTGAATCCCATTTCTTCCAACTCAGAAGTAAAAAAAAAAGTCTTAAAGGAACAGACTAGGATTATCAGTGTAATATAAATACACTGTTCTGTTGGCATGCCACAGTCCAGCATTCCTAAACCATAATGCCATTATAAACTATCCATTCATAAATAACAGAAGCACTTGCAGTGAGAGAGAACTGTTTGCCGTGTCCTTCTCGATTGTGCCTTTGGGCCAGCAGCAACACGTTTTACAGTACTAAAGTGGGCAAAGACTATCTTCCCTATCTTCTTTAGTGAGAACTTAAATCTACTTTAGTTCAGAGAGAGTACAATTAGGATATTTACAAAACAACCATAGTGTATTGAGCCCTTGCCTCAGTGAAGTGTAATCTGGTTGATGCTATTAGTGGGTATGTCACTGAATGCTACATGGGTGGTACAGACTTGGATGAGGTCCCTGACGGTGGCTATGTGGAGTGTTACTTGCTGTTTTGTGGTATATGGGATTGGCACTGACTGGAGAAAATTGTGAGCCTTGCCATACTACGTGTCACTGAGTGTGGATGGCTCTCTACGCCGTTCTGCCTCTCACCCCCTCACACTTCAACAGGAGCCTGGATGGACTCGACGTACCGTAGCTCCATTTATGCGTGTTAGGAATGATAGGAGATGGAAGGTTAAGAGGGCTTGACAGTGCAGTCCTACAGACCCCTTGCTTCCTTTCCCACATGGACATGGTGACAGTCAGGGGGGAATGGGCTGAGGTGAACAAGTGCATGTGCGTTTACAGGGTCAGCTAGGTCTCTGGGTTAGGTGTGGCAAGCAACGGAACATTGTCTCTCCTCCTCCGGCCCAGCGGGGGGCGCCGGTACTGCTCACCATCAGCCAGTGTCTGTGGCAGGGGCTTTCGTTTGCTCTCCGGGAGGAGCAGGATGGACAGAACAGCCAGCAGAGCCAGGGAAGAGTAGACCACGTGGTGCAGGAAGTAGCCATAATGGTTACGCAGATCCATCAAAGGAGAGCTAAGACGACCCACGCAGCCCAGAGCCAGGATTGCACCCACCCCACTGCCCCTGTAAGAACAAGAGTGCACGATCATGCTGTAACTGGGGCAACGTATGGGCAAATATAACATACTAGGAGTGAAAAAAATCATCATGATGCATAGATCTGAAGGTGGCCATTCAACTGTATTGCTTTTTGAATTTTTGGCCAAAACAAAGTTCCTGACCTATTTTCAAACATAAATATTCTAAACCAATCTTGGAGTATTTTGTTTTATTAGTTATATTCCACTACTGCGTAAAACAAACCAAACCAGCCCCACGTTTTCAGTGTATTTTTAAAAACAATTGAAAATAATCCATAAACAGATCAATCATGATGCACTGAAACATTTCCTAAAAAAACATCAATATCAAATAGATAATTCAATTATTACATGGTTCGCTATTAAACAGATTAGACTCCCAGCAGTAAGTGGGGCTTTAGATTCCGAATATTAAAATAATAAAAGTTCTTTTATTTTACTTAATTCTATCAAAACTACACTACTGCTTTTCTTCCTATCTGATCTATTTACTGCATGACAGGATAAAAAGTCTACATCCATGTAATACAGCTGTTGTAATATATTTACATTCTGCATCCAATATAAACGCCTCTCTTTAATGTTGGCTTATGAACCAATCATTTGGAAAATCACGTGTCTAGTCCTGTGCTTGTCCCAGAACAAAAAGCCCTGCCTGCTACCTGAAGCTGCCAAAGTCATATTACTTATTCTCATTCCTCTTAGGGGTGATTTAAAAATAAATTTTGTGCTGCGAAAAAACACAATTTTAGTATTATATCATATGAAGGCAATACATCTTCTTTAGATCTCTGATAAGACTGCTTGTCTTACAGATCACTGTGTTAGAAATTTAAATTGTTTCAAAAGTTAACCTTGTTTTACACTGTCTTACCTAAAGGATTTTGAGATGATAATATTTAATGGTTAAAGCCTTTATAGTTCTGAACTTAGCGGGTGAAGTTATACACTACTTGATCATTTTTTCTGAGTTCTCAGAACACAGATGTGAATTCAGACATAATCTTAAATTAATAAAAGATTAAAGAAAAACTCATATTTCCTTTTGACTAATTTGGTAAGCCAACTCAACTCATTATGGCTTAATCTAATTATAAACTGTTTACTTGCAAGATAGTCTTACAAAGGTAATTGGAGAGAAAAACATGGACTTACATGGAGTCCCTGCATCTTATTACTTTGCATGGAAACAGAATATTTGCTAATATCACATTCCAGAAGCTATATTCTCATATTTTCTTACTTGCTTTAAGATATTTAGGGTGAATAACTAGATATTAATGCCTTTTGCTCATCCGACTGGCAGATTTTTTTTCTTTTTTAGATTTTATTTATCAACATAGTGTCATGGAGACTGAAAATGAGCAGAACTCAATGTGTAATAAATGTGTTATGCACAATGCAAGAAATATTTCACTCACATAAAAAGGGATTTCAGATTCATATAAAGGGGCTTAAATGTAGAGTGTTACCTGATGATGGTGGGCATGATTTCAGCAGTGAAGAGGATACAGAGAGAGGCAGCAGCCTGCGAGGAGAACAGGCCCATCACTGAGAACACCGTAATGGCCGACTCACTCAGATCTGCAGAGAGACGCATATGAAGTCATACATATATACATGCACACATATTTATATAATTTATAATTTTCATTAATTTCACATAATGTACTTCAAAAAAACAATGAAAGAGTTCATGCTGGGATGTTAAATATTCTCATTTCTAAGTGAAAATATTTCTTTATGATATGCCAAGACAGCACAGCAACACTGAAACTGCACACAGAGCAGGGTAAATTCATGGTAATTCAAGGCTTATTTGAAAAAGACTTCCAAAAATCCATCCATTAGCACTGCTTGATCTGTTGCTACAGCTACAGCTCTGTATGAAGACTGTGAAGTCAAAATAAAGCGGTATATAGTAATTATTAGAGGCTGTAGATATGTGAAAGCAGTGTATGTATTTGTCTGATATTTTTCTGTGTACCTGCTATTTTTTATGTGTGAACATTTGCTGCTGTGCCCCTATACTCCCCCACAGAGGTAAATAAATATGTGTTTCTATCAGTCTATCCATCTATCTAGCTGAGTGATACCACTGTTTGCCCACAGGATGGCGACAAAGTGCATCATAGAGCATCAACAAAGGCACCTCAGGTCCTGTTCTCAGATTTGCTTAAGTGAAACATATTGATTGATGTTTAAGTATTCACTGATTTCAAACCAAACAACTGCATTATCATCTGCACTTACACTCCATTAGCCCGAGTAAGATGAGAGATGCAAGCCCAGTCATGGTCATGGCCAGCAGGAGGATTCCACGCCGGCCGCACCTGTCCACTGTCGCCCAGAGTAACAGCCAGGCTCCTCCTCCTGCGCAAACAGACAGCAGGTAGGTCCAATAGAAACTGGGAGTGGTGCCTCTGACATCACCCCTGAAGGAGCTATAGCAGTGACTAATGCCATGGGAGATGAACCTGAGCGTGTGAGAAAGAGGAGGAAAGATTAATTTAGTCCATTTTAGGCCTTTTCCATTCTAATATAACAACCCATTTCAATAATAGACTAGGCTGCTAACAGAACAGGCTTTATTTTGTTTTCATTCATGCATTTTTTGTGCTTACAGATATGATGAATAAAACATATCAGTTTACTTGAATAACCAAGAAATTTTAAACATCATTTACATATTTAGCAGTCTGGAAGACCAAAAATGTCCCCAAAATTAAAAGTTTGCAAGGGCAATGATGTCGGAACAATTTCAATACGCTCCATTTTTCTAGTGTGCGTTCTCCATATTTCTAGTTCTGTTTGAAGAACTGGATAAACAGTTTCCAAAATAGTCCATTGAACAGGAGGTCTCTGGTATGGTGACTTACGAGGTGAAGCCCAGCACACACATGTTTTTCCAGATGTTTCTGCTGTGCAGTAGCTCTGGGAAGGACAAATGGGGGCGATGAGATGGAGGGGGCTCAGACTCCAGCTCTGTGGGGGGAAAAGATTATAACTGAGGAGTCACATTTACACAAGAGCCCTTAAACTTCTCATGTGATCAAAGTGGCACAGTAAAGCACATTTACTCATGCTGCACACTTTATTGTGACTTTACTGATCACAATAACAATAAATATCATTGTATTACCCTCCACTGAAATGTAAACAGTTGCTCCAGTCACATTTGTGTCTTTAGTGTTTTTTTTTTTAAATACTTCTAATTTATTGCAATTAATACAATTCTACAAAAATAATCAGTTTGTATCAAATCTAAACAAATTAATAACTTCATAAGAAACAGTGATCAAATTATTGAGAAGTCAGAGATTTATTGTAAGGTCAAAGATTTACAGCACTATTACATAGATTACACTGTTAAAGTGTTTCAGCAGCATATGATGCACTGCAGAACAGTTATGAAATGGAATCAAAGTGAGGTCATACATTTACACCTTATTTAATTAATTCCATAACAAAAAGAATATCTCAGAACTAACACAGGAACAGCTTTTACGATTCCTATATAAATCAAAGACATTATAAATGAGGAGACCGGAGGAGACTAACTGAAATGTCAATAGGAAAGTTTGCGATGCTCAACATGGCATCTGTTCTCGAAGAGAGTCCCGCCCTTTAATAAAAAAGAGCCAATCAGCTTGCTGTTTATGCCGCAAATGGAAAAAAAATTCAAAGAGTGGAGAGACTTTCCTATAATGACTTATATATGAACATTATTCCTGCACCCCATGATGCTCTGAATGACTTAAGGACAGATATCCCAGCAAAGTGTAAGTAGTGGAAGTGTTTGTAGCTTAATCGATAAACCTGAATCTGTTTGAGAGAAACGCTTTAGACCCCATGTGTCAAACACAAGGCCTGCAGGCCAGATTAGGCCTGTGACACAATCCTATCTGGGCGGCAAAAATGTTTTAATTTTCTATTAATATTTGCTTGATTCACAACACGCTGTACTACAGTCCCCAGCATGCACTGCAACGTAATGTGCACTCCGACTCTCCTACCCCAACAGCAATCTATGGGACACCTCAATTCCATACCAGTGATATCACCAAATAACTAACTGTTCAGCCAATATAAACACCTAACAGCAGCTCAGAAATTGAGCCCAAGTATTAATGAACTTGAAAGAAAAGAAAAAAAGGCCAGCTGTCCAATTCAAGCAATTAGGTAGGTTTTAAAGACCTACATCTGGGGGACATTGAAATTTTTAATATTTCAAGTATTCATGTAATATTTTAAGGTCTACTACAAGTTTCTGTGTATTTTTGAACAAACGCTGGTCAGTTCGGTTTATGGCAAAACGTTAATTAAAAATGAAATAAAACATAGACATTCTCGGCCCATGGATTTGTTCAGATTTTTTAACACGGCCCTTTTAGTGGTTGAGTTTGACACTCCTGCTTTAGACAGAGGATCTTTTTAATAGCCTACTTGAATATTTCACATTAATAAAGTCATTTCTTTAAAACATTTTAATTGTATATACTCTTAGAGTCCGTACAGACAGCAACACATAAATGCCATTTCACAGCAATGTCTAATGATCAAATGTGTTTTATAAACCAGCCTTTCGATAATGCATGTTTACCAGAGTAGCCAGCTATTGGATATTTCAGCCATAATCTCGAAAACACGTGTCATGTGAAAAATAAGGTGGATATAAAATATTATATGCTGTTCTGTGTTCAGAAAAGTACTGAACTGTTCTTTATAAAATTGATTAAGCATTTACAAACATATATTTTGCATAAAAGCTGGACCCGTTCAGGAGCGCCCCCTGGCGTTTGAGAAACTTTTTGGTTTTTAGTCAGTAAACTATAAACTATAAATTCATATCATGTGCTGAAGAGTCTGTGAACTGACCTGTGAAGCCATCGTCTTCTCTTTGTCGTTCAATGCGTTCGCTGAAGGAGTTCATGTCGCTCGTCCTCTCTGAGAGTAAGAGCCAGCGTGGAGACTCTGGAAAAACACCTGGAATACTGAAGACACAGAAAGCAGATATAACACGGACAGGCTATTAAGTGGAACAACATACCTGACTCAACAAATTGCGCCTGGCACAGAGTTCTTGTAGCTAATATAAACAAGGGTGATGCAGTGTTACAGGCAGGTGCTAATGGGCACTGGCAGGAGCAAATGTCTCCATGTTTCTGAGGGAATTTCAGATCAATATGGTTTAACGACTAAAGATGCAGCCAGTTTGTATCTATCTTTTAAACTGTTTCATGCAGTGCCAGTACACTGAAGAGTCAGTACTAAAGCTGACCTACTCAAATCTTAACCATTACAACAGACACTGGAAAGTGCAGAAGTGCAGAAGCACTTTCCAACAGTTTCTCACCCATAGCAGAGGAAGAGGGAAAGAGGAGCAGCTCCAGTTCCTAAAAGCCCCCTCCATGACTGGCATCCAACAGCTACACCCAGCAAAAGCAGCTCCCCAGCAACTGTTGTCAGTCCCGCCAACATTGTGACCACCAATCGTAGTGAAGGGTCACACAGTTCCAAACCTGTCATTAATAATAAAAAATACCACCAAAAGGAATTAAAGAGATTATTACGACCATTACGGCTACAATAAGACAAGATACTGTCACTGGTGGAATAAAACCTCTCCAAACTCCAAAAAGGTAACAGAAGAGGAAAAAAAAGAAACTTAACTTTCAACATAAATGAATGGAATAAGATTTTGTTCATTTTGTCATTTTGACACAATGTAAAGGGCAAACTGCCATTTTCAAATCATGTGGAAAAAGTTTTGTTCCGAAAGCAACAACATGATGAGATAAATGTACTTCAGTGATCCCCAAGGATAAATATGGGTCCAACGGTAGCAAAACACAGCATATTATATCGAAAAACACATAGTTACACCTACACTCACTGGCCACTTTATTGTGAACACCTGTACACCTACTCAGTCATGCAGCTGTCCATTTAACCCATCATGTGGCAGCAGCACAATGCTTAACATCATGCACACATGCATCATGAGCTTCAGTTAAAGCTCACATCGAACATCAAAATGAGGAAAAATGGGATCCAAGTGACCACAGTATGGTTTTTGGTACTAAAGAGGGTGATCTGACTGCTGATCTAGAATTTTCACACATATTAATCTCTAGAGTTTAGACAGAATGGTAGACAAAAATCAAGTGAGTGTCAGTTCTGTGGGTGGGACATTAACTGTTAATGAGAGGGGTCAGTGGGGGTGGCCAGACTCGTTTGAAGGCGTACTGTGACTTAAGTAACTTGAATAAGCACTCTTTACAACACTGGTGATCAGAAAGGCACCTCTGAACTCACAGTACACTGAAGTGGATTAGCTACAACAGCAGAAGACAACAACAGGTTCCACCCCAGACAGCCAACTGGAATCTAAGGCTACACTGGGCACAGACTCACCAAAACTGGACATTAAACTGGAAAAACACCTCCAGGTCTCGGTTTCTGCTTATGCAGATTGTAGGGTCAGAACTTGATGTAAACTGCATGAATCCTTAGACCCAACTTAGCTTGTGTCAACAGTTCAAGCTGGTGGTGGTGGTGATGTGACAGTGAAGGGAATGCTTTCTTGGCACACTTTGAGGCTCTTAATATCTGTCAAGAACCATTGGATTCCATAGTCTTTCTTCTTTTTTGTCTATTTTCCACAGTTTACCCATCTTCTAGTAGCTCCTTCCAGCATGATGATGCATCTTGTCACAAAGCACAAGTCATCCTAAACTGGCTCCAGGAACACGACACTGGGTACAGTATGCTTCAGTGGCTTTGTCACCAGATCAAAATCCAGCAGAGCACCTTTGGGATGTGGTGGAACAGGAAATTCATAGCCATCACGTCAAAGCATGTCAACATGGACCAGAATCTACAAGGAATAACTCCAGCACCTTGTTAATTCCATTCCATGAAGAATTCAGCCTGTTCAGAGAGCAAATGGGGCTCCTACCCAGCATTAGAATGGTGTTCCTAATAAAGCGGCCGTGCTTTACTTTGATATCTTTCTTCCCTCGCTAAAAGAATGTGTCAACTGTCAACAGGGGAACAGGTTACCTTTGTTTATTGGCTACACTCAACACAAACAATGAAGAAATGTCATGAATGTCATGCAAAATGTCTCTTTCCAAATACTTTCTACTTACGTGTGATATACAGGCTGAGGTAGACACCAGCACTGGCCGCAGCCAGACAGAACCGCATGGCAATGAAGATGGGGGGTGAGGGAGAAACACACACCAGTGTGCCGAATATCACAGAGAGAGTGAGAGAGGTGAGCAGAGTCTTCAGCCTGCCCAATCTGGGGAGAGAACAATCTGTTTAGGCAGTTTTGCCAAGCATAGGAAACCTTAGTGTCTTTACTATGCACAGAGTTTACAGTTTATTAGGTACACCTACCTTTAACACTAATTTGCCACTTTTTTGCAAGTGGGCTACATTAGATCTCCTCAGAAATATTTCCTGAACAGCAAATAACTTGTATTTAAGGGCAGCTTTGAGTGGAAATTAAATAATGAAGGGTGGTCTCTGACTAACACAGTACATTATGGTCGATGTTTCAGATAAACTGGCCAATGAATGCAGATACAAAGTAGGTGTCCCTAATAAACCGACAAAAAAAGTTTTATCCTGTGTACTTCACAGGAAACTGGACTATAGTTTACAGTCCAGAAGATCATTATATTTGTAATTTTGAGCAGTTATGGAGCCTTTCTTAGTGACTGTGTGTCTCTCTGCTAAATTTACTTCTCACCGGTCAGCAGCATATCCGAGTCCCAGGCAGCCTGTGAGGATGCCCAGTATGAAGCAGACTTCCTCCACTGGGACCAGCCAGTACTGAGCGCACACCAGATCCCACTGCCAACACAGAAGCCGAGCAGACAGGAAGTGAGGTAATGAGGCAATAATGAGTAGTATCAAAAGACATGGCAAGACAATGCTTTTTTAAATGGCTACTACAGGGCATTTAAGAACTCAACAGAAAAAAACAACAAAATGGACAATGTGGACCAAACTAAATTAGGCTACACAAATCTCCCTTCACTCAGCTAAACTGCTTCTTTACTTTAAGGAGCAGTTATGCTTGAAGGAGCAGGATTACAATCACACTCAAAATCAAACTCTAACTACGCAAGCTGCGGTCTCTCTAATCTCCTAACCAAATAGGAGAACTAGCAGAACTAGAATAAAGAATGAAACTAGTAAAAATGCAAACCATGTGCAAAAGTCTGGGTGGAAACTCATCTGACAAGTTCTAAAATAGATACAGTGCACTCAGCTGAGCATGGTGAGAATGCAGCCTTGCTGTTTTTTCCTACTCCACACCCTGAAATGACAAAACAATGGCACGGTACGGTCTGTACACTTTTACTCCTATCACGCAAGCAAAAGTAGTGGTTAGGCACACTTTTAAAAGGCCCATATCACACATTTGTCTTGTATTTTACGTGAATTCCACGTATGTTTATGCTGTTTAATGTAATACTTTTTTTTTTTTACAAATAAATATTTTAAAATATTTTTAAAATATAAATCATTTTTTACATGACCATTTTCCAACCTCTCTTTATCCCTCAGCATTACACAGGCTGTTTTTGTCACTGTGCCTTTAAAGGGCTCATATCATGGCAAACTGAATATCCTTCCTTTTTTAATATAAGAGTTTAATGTAGTATGTAAACACTTAGTTCTGAGTGCTTTTTGAATGAACAGAGCTCATTTATCTTATATCAAGGGGAGGCTGGCATATCACTGTCAAAGTCTACAATCAAGACATGCCTCCATAAACGTAAACACAGTGGGTTTACCTCAAGATGCAAACCACTGGTAACACTTAAGAACAGAAAAGCCAGATTAGACTTTGCTAGAAAACATCTGAAAAAGCCTACTCAGTTCTGGAACAAGATTGTCTGGTCAGAACTTGTACCAGAATGATAGTAAGAGAAGAGCATGGAAAAGGACAGTAAGGGCTCATGATCTGAAGCATACCATGTGATCTGTCAAACATGGTGTTGTGGCATGAGCATATATGGCTGCCAATGAAGCTGGTCACTGGTGTTTATTGCTGATATGGCTGCTGATAGTAGCAGGATGAATTCTGAAGTGTACAGAGCTCTACTTTCGGCCCAGATTCAGTAAAATGCTACAAAACTAGTAGGACGGCACTTCATAGTACAGATGGATAACGACCCAAAACATACCACAAAAGCAACCCAAGAGCTTCTTAAGGCAAAGAAATGAAATGCTCTTAGACGACTGAGTCAGTCACCTGACCTCAACCCAACTGAGCATGATTTTCACTTACAAAACTGAAGGCATAACGACCCACAAACAAGCAGCAACTGAAGATAGATAGATAGATAGATAGACAGATAGACAGATAGATAGATAGATAGATAGATAGATAGATAGATAGATAGATTCAACTTTATTGCCATTGCTCAGTACAAGCACAAAGCAACAAAATGCAGTAACGCAGTAATGCAGAAGGTGGCTGCAGTAAAGACCTGGCAAAGCGTCTAAAGGGAGGAAACTCAGTATTTGGTGATATCCATGGGTTACAGACTTTAGGTAGTCATTGCAAGTCATTGGACACGAAGGATTTGCATCCAAGTATTAAAAATAATCCTTGTATTCATAATCATATTAGTTTGTCTAATTACTTTTGAGCCTGTGAAAAATGGAGAGACTATATAAAAATTGCTGTAATTCCTTAACAGTCAATGCAATATTTTGTTAAATGCACTGAATTGAAGATGACAGTCTACACTTCAGTCACATCTTGACAGCTTAATGTCAAATCCTTTTTGTGATGGTGTACAATGGCAAAAGGACAAAAATTGTATCACTGCCCAAACACTTACAGACTGTATGTAAATAAGCTCTGTTCTGATTGGGTGCCCGGTATTGTGCCAGGCTTACAACTTCAGCATGAATGTGTGGGGCTAAACTGCTATAGCCTGAATATCTGGACATATTTAAATGTGTTAATCATGACATCACAAAAAATGAATTAAAAATGGGCTGTTTTGACAGCTTAGTTTATATGAACTGTTCGGACTGGGGAGCGAATGGTCCGTTTTAAAACTTGCGCAATATTTAAATATGACATTAAACTCCACTATTTAGAAACAGCAAGGACAACCTGGTTTTCAGTGACACATGCCCTTTAAAGGAGTAACACTAAACTGAGCTCCAAGTGAGGAAAAAAAATCTGGTTATGTTTTAAGGCACTACTGCAGGCCTCTTAAGACTGTTCAACTGCCAGAATACCAACAATGGTTGCTAAGTGATGTATAAACCAAATTATCTTCAACTTTCCTCGAGTCTTGCCAGCTCAAATAGTCGCACTGTGCTATCATTTAAGCGGAGAGCAGAAGCAACACAGCAGAAATATAAACGGCAACTGGGCATTTACAGTTCAGCCCGTGTTGGTGACCACAGCAGTGAATGCCAGCAAAAGAGATTTTTTCGTGGTGCAAACAAATACAACAGTCTAACTGCACACCTCAGTTCAGCTGTTTATGTACTCTACTGTGCTACGACTATCCCAGCTGAATCACTCATTGCCTGTGCACTTACAGAACATGGCCATGTGTGCTGTTTGTTTGACAAGGCTTGGCTTTTCAAACTACACCCACAGCCTGCCAAGCATAAGCAGAGATTACAACACAAAGTAATCCCTAAAAAGTGAGGCATAAAGTTAGTTTCCGATGGACTGGCAATTGGGAAAGCTCTGAGACAGACATGGATAATATGCATGTTACAATATAGTGACCCTGAGGGACAACATTCAAAAGTGTGCCACAGGTAGGAAATAATTACATAGACTGCCAGTCTGTAAGGCATAAAGTGTGAAAACACAAAGACATTGGCAAATCAGTTTCTCATTGACAAACCTACCCATGACTACAAGTAAAACTATAGGAAGGTCAAAGGATATTATGGAAGCTGAAGTATGTGTCTCAAATTATTTATTTAATTTATTTGAGCCTCACATTTTGCACAAACTAAGCGACCTTGGGCCAAAAGCAAACAACTGGGCTACAAGGCTGCAGAGTGAATTCTCCCTTCCAATAAAACACACGACCTGAATGTTTATCATGTCCCAGTGATGCAACTTGTAGTGGATAAACAGAAAAAGGAAAAATCCAGACTGGACTGGAGGAAAGTGTATTCAGAAGTGATACCAATACCGGCATGTCCATGTTTTAACCGTCCATATGTCAGTCTAACCTTTAGTTCCTTACTTTCGTAACTACATTACTTTCATAGTAGTAACTGTGATGTACAATACTGTTCAAAAGCCAGAGGCAACCCTTCATTTTTTTTATTTCCATATAAAATGGTAATAAAGTACAAGCTATTCATTTTTCAGAAGATATTTCTGAGGAAATTGGATACAAGATCAAGCACTTGCATAAGGATGGAGAATGTCAAAGGAAAACAAGCAAGAAAACAGGAGTTTCCAAAAACTGGAGCTCGAAAAAATGATTGAAAGATACAGAGGAAATGGGGCTCCAAACAACCGTGCAAGACCTGGTAGACCACCAAAACTGTCACCATCATATAAACAGCACTTAAAGCTTTCATCTTTGAGAGAGAGGAGAAAATTAAGCTCCACTCTTGCTTTAGATCTGAAAAATCCACAGGTGTTTCTGTCCATCCTTCCCCTCTGAGAAGACAACTCAGCACTGTGAGTCTGAAAGGATGTACAGCTGTCAATGAGCCCGAAAATGCAACTAACTTATAAGACTGAACTTTGCAGGTGTGGAAAAATATCCCTGCAGATTTTTTTTGAAATACTGTCTCCTCAAAAAAATGGAAGCTGTAATAAAGCCATTAGTGGACACATTAAATATTGAAAAAATATTATATTTAATTGTTGAAGCTTCTGTGTAATTCTCTGTTAAATGTTTTAATTCTGCAAAATGAATAACTTGTACTTACTGGCCATTTTGAATGGAAATGAAATAAATTCAGGGTCTCTGACTTTAACACAGTACTATATTAGGTCACAGTAATTACCGAATGCTAATTATTATGATTAATGACTAAATAATTTGCCTGCAGTTGAAGAGGTCAGATCCTTTTTAGTCTTCAATATAAAACACATCTCTAAGCTGCTAAGCTGCTAAAAGAGAGAGAACCAGTTGGTCTACCTCTGTGACAATGTTCTTCCTCAAGCCTTCTGTGACGTTGTAGTCCCACCCAGCTTCACAGACCACTACATCAGAGCGGGTGCCGTTGACGAACAGGTACTGCTTGCACGGGGAGAGTCGTCCACTCTCCCCCTCCCTCTCACCCTTCTCCCACGGCAGAGAGGCATTGAGCAGTTCGGGTGTTGGGGTGGTCCCTGGCAGGTGGCAGTGATGGGGGGACGCCAGGGTCAGCAGAGGGTCAGAGGAGAGCAGAAAAGCCAAGAAAAGGTTGGGTAAGATGGAGAGGGCGATGAGGAGCCGCTGCTTCTTCCGCCCCAGAGCCAAGACCATCACCTCACCAGTAGGGGGCAGAGAGGGGGGAAGGGGGAGGGTGGAAGGGGCAGGAGAGGATGGGGTTGGGGAGGAGGGTAGCGATGGTGGGGGTGGAGGACAGGGGCAAGGGGAGGGGAGAGGTGATGGGGGTGACGTCATGGTGTCTGCCTTGAGGTACAACTTCTGGATGCCTGCTTTAAGGTGGACCTCGGATGGAAGGAGAAAATAAGAAAGAGTGAGGGAAAAAAATAGACTGTGGGTCTATATCTCTCCCTCCGTCTCTTCCTCTGTCCACCCTTTAAGAGAAACAAAAGGAAATAATCAATGAAAGTGCTAAAAGTGGTAGCATGATATCACTGTTATTACATGTAATATATCTGCTATATCAGAGACATTAATAGAATGGGTCAATATTATATTTACACTATTCTCCACTAAATATATATATATATATATATATATATATATATATATATATATATATACATAAATTCCACGCCAAATATAATCAATCAGCCAAGACAGGTTTGCTGTTGCTTCTTTAGTTTTAAAAGGGAGCCAAGAGACTAAAGTTGCTAACAAACACTGGAAGTCAATAGTCACCCAAATCTTTTCCATAAATACATCCCTGAAACTTCTTTCAGACCAAGTTGTCCCCAGCATTTAGCTACACTGTGAGGTTCTGTTGATTTTTAAAGTTCACAGTAAGTCATACTCTGCCCTAAATCTCACGGAAAGACTGCACAGCCTTAATGAAAACCTGATTGGGTGGAGAGAAGTTTTGGGGATGTATTTACAGAAAAGATTTGGGTGACTACTGACTTCTAGTGTTTGTTAGCAACGTTAGCCTTGTTGTTCCACTTTGAAACTAAAGAAACAAAATCTGGACACTAAGCATTTCATGGCTGGTCGACTAATTGTGTGGTAAGTGGAAAACTGTGTCAATTAGATTTCTTCCTGAACCACTCCTTTACCTTAACTTTCATTAATACTCTTTAGTAACATTTCCTCAACATCTACACCTTACAGATTATATGCTTATATACATACTAGCATTCAAAAGTTTGGAATTATTTGTCATGTTAATAACTACTGTTACTATAATCTAGACACCAGAAGGTATTTCAAGACGTTTTATTCAAATTTTTAAGTTGGGAACACCAAAAAAAAGTCACTAATGATAAACAATACACTGTAATTATTTATTTATAGTAATTTCTTGAAAGTTATCTGCCTGTGATCACCACATTTCAAATACAAGGTATTCTGGATGTTAATTTCATTATAGCTTCATTCTCAATGTTTTACAGCTTTCTCAGTCATTAACCATCTACAGCTCTTCATTCTGGACATCTAACATTTCTTCACTTTTTCCCGCTTGGTACGAAGCAGCATCATAATAGAACCATTTCATTTCATTGAAAAAAAAGTGATCCCAAACTTTTGAACACTAGTGTATCTTATAGTTCGCCTGTCACAGGAAGTAAAATTTTGTCTTAAATGTAAATGCAGCTCATCTATTAACTAGTTCACAGTAAAAAGGTAGCAGCCTGGATACAACAGGCCTCTCTGCTCCTGTCAGTCAGCCCCACTGTTGTAGGCACTCATTCATACACTGTATATAAAGTGTAATGATATATAACTCATATAAATAATATTTATATGATACATTTTTTTCAGTTAGCAAGGTGGACATTAGTTGTGTGGTACAGCAGAAGTACCAGCATGGTGATTAGTACAGCCTAGTGGCTGTGTGGGAGAACTCCAGCGTTACATAAGCGACAGGACAGATGGGGGAAAGTGCTGTCTGAGTGGATCAGAGAGAGACAGTCCACTTCACAGCGGTCAGAGAGCTTTAGAGCAGCATCCTGACCGCAGCTCGACACAGTGGAGGGGGTCAGCAACACACAGTGGACAGTGCTGAGCAGCACAGACCAGATGACGTAGCTCGTACTGAGACACACACACGCGCACTCAGTAGATCAACACTGTAAACACCGCTGCCCGAACACCCTTAAGAATGTTCCTTTTGGAGAAAGGACGTTAAACACACGTGAAGACTTACCCCGTTTTGAGCTGGTTAACAGAGCTGGAGTGTGTTGACAGTACTTCACTGGACACTGTGTGTGTGTGTGTGTGTGTGTGTGTGCGTGTGAGTGTGTGTTATATGAGGAGGCTGGGCTGGATTTTGGACGGCAGCGCCGGTTTAACGTTACTGCGCCTTCTCTTCCCCCTCACTGCGTCTACCAGCGGCGGACCCTCAGTGTGCTGCTCCTCATGAAGCCCTCCCTGCCTCGGACTGGCGTGTCCGGAAAACGACACAGGTCCCTCAAAAAGCCAGGCGTTCACCGGTAACACACAGCTGTCTCAGTGCAGCAGCGAAGAAGAAAAACTCGTCTCCATCCGAACAAAGGCTGAACGGCTGCTGCTGCTGCTGCTCAGCACAGGCTCCGCACTCCAGCCCGTATCTGCCGACAGAAAACTGGAACATTAAACAAACGACATGCCGCCGTCTTAAAGGGGCGGTCATGGGCGAACCGGCCTCTCCGAGACGAAAAGAGGGCGGAAAACTGCAGCGGAACAAGGAGCAGCCGGACTCGGCAAACATCGGACACATTCGTTAGAGAATGTTTCCCCCAGAGAACTGCAGCTCCGCACGGCGAGCTGCAGGGGGCGCTGCGCAGCATCAGTTAATACAGCGCCGCGTTACAGCTCTGTAATATCACCACAGTGGACATGTCACTAATTAAACACCAGCTAATACGTCACTCAAACCATTTCCACTTCAATAAAATATACAGTATAACAGCACATTTATTGTCAAACGTAGTGTGAACAAAATAGTATAATCACATTGTGTGTTTGGGAAATGTGTTATTTGGTAACGCATTAAAATTATATTCAAGAACAAACCTGAGACTGAGAAACTCCGCTGGTTCATGCAGCACTATGGAATATGTTGTAATTCGGACGATGTTAGCCACAGTGTAAATTTAAACACATCTTAAATGTGATTAATACTGAAATTTGTAGTTCTTTTTTTCTAAATGTACAATGTAATTTAAGCATTGGACGTCAAGTCAGACTGTTTTAATGAACTTCAGTTTCAAATTTCAAAGTCTCTCAATTTCAATTAAAATGTAAACAGTCCAAGGGTGGTGAACACCCATCACTGCACTAGTACAGATGTACAGCGCTATCAGTGTCCTTATTTAACATCACTTCTTCAGACGTGTTGTACCACAGTAAGATCATGATATACATTTAGAAATGTATGAAAAACACTCATTCATAATTTCTGTGATGGAATATACCCCAAAAATTAAGAAGAGAAGACCACACAATGAATTTCAAAAGTAAAATAGACTATAAAAATCATAAGAAAATATTTTTTCGGGATTACAGCAACGTGCAAAAGAAAACGCAATTAAAAGAATGGATAAAAATAAAGAAAAATAATCTCAACAGGCCAACACGCTCACATAAACACTCATAACCTCACATGAAAAGGCTGAACTAAGACAAAACATTAAAGAAAGAAATCAGCAGGGGGAGGGAGAGAGAGAGCGAGAGAGCACCCACAGGTGTCTTCCCCATCTAACACACACTTGGTCAAAGCAAAAAAAAAATAAAATAAAAAAAAAAAGCAAATTATATGTAAATTAGACTATTTACATATACAGTTACTGATTCTACATTTAAACTACTATAATGCAGATTTGGGCTGATTTAGAAACCTCACTAAACACAGTGTCATTGCTGAGATACAGTGTGTGTCCCTCACACACATCTTAATGACTTCAGCAGAGGTCACTCTCAGTCAGACCTAAAGGCCTTGAAAGTTCCTAAACAGTCACCTTTCCATCTAGTTACACAGTGATTAAAATACCCAGTTCCAGATCCTGTAACATAGACTGCCACCTTGTCTGGTAGGACAGACTGTAGATGGGCATCAACAAGTCCTTATCTCATGTCACAGCGCCCTTCTAATGGAACATGTCACACGACTCAAAGAGACATAAAAGACCAAAAAACTAGATGTCAGTTTTATGAAATATATATTCATAAGCAAAACGGTCTGTATCAAAAAGACTCAAATTTGACTATGGGAAATGAAACTACATCCCTTCAGACTAAGCTGGGTTTTTTAAAATGGTCAAGGTGGGTGAAATAATCTGCACCCTAATAACCATTTATATTGTTTCTCATATTTATCCCAGTCCCTTGCATTGCTGATGTGTGGTATTGTGAATCTGTGGGTTAAATTTTGCTGTCATAAAAATCATCACTCATAATAAAACCTTGCATCTCCAAATAGAAGAAGGAATAGAACATCTGAAACTTTAACGCAGAGGTTCCCAATCCCAGCCTTGGGGACTACCAGCAGCGCACACACACACTTATTACAGCAAGTTTTTTTTCTTCTGACTCAGTTATGCTACTTTCAGTTTGAACAAAAAACTTATAGTGCAGATTTAATGTAACAATTGTAATCCAAGTAGTTTTGGACTGTTTATATTAGTCCATGTTATTAAACTTTCACACATTGTAAAGTGGGCAGTTGACAGCTGGCGAAAAATAATACAAGTTGCGAGGTTTTGACATGACTGCAAGAATGTTCATTCACAGCCCATACAGGCTCACTGTACCTGCTTTGGTACTTTAAACAACATTAAACGTTTAAATGTATCTATAGGTAAAGCTTCCACTTGGAGAAGGTCGACCTGTTTGACGTTCTTTCTAGATTTATTGGGCTTTTGATAATTGCAAATCATCACTCACTGGCTGTTGGGTAACATGGACTGAGCTGAAACAGTGTCTTTCCTAATCCTGTGGCCATGTTTCAGACTTGGAACCACATATTGCCCCATAGAGACTCACAGCAATGTTACAACACACAAACATTTGAGTACAAAGTCATTTCAACATGTACACAGGAATAATCCACTTATTATCTAAAGCCTTATTAATTAGTAACGACTCAGAACTATTCACTAACTACTGTGAATGTCATCATTAATTAGTAAATAATAGGACTTATTCAGTTAATTTTATGATTTATTCAGTCATTGCTATAAAATATTCAGTGACTGCAATTAATGATTCAGCAATGTTTATTAATCATTCAGTGACTACAATGAATTATTCAGTAATGTTTATTAATTATTCAGTGACTACAATGAACTATTAGGTAATGTTTGTTAATTATTCAGTGACTATGATGAATTATTCAGTAACTGTTATTAATTCAGTAAATGCTATTAATTATTTAGTAACTACTACAAATTATTAAGTAACTTCAATTATTCAATAACTTTTATGAATTATAAAGTAACTATTACTAATTATCAGAATGTTAATGAATTATTCAGTAATGTTTATTAATTATTCAGTGACTACAATGGATTATTCAGTAAAGTTTATTAATTATTCAGTGACTACAATGAACTATTAGGTAATGTTTGTTAATTATTCAGTAACTATGATGAATTATTCAGTAACTGTTATTAATCAGTAAATGCTATTAATTATTTAGTAACTACTACAAATTATTAAGTAACTTCAATTATTCAATAACATTTATGAATTATAAAGTAACTATTACTAATTATCAGAATGTTAATGAATTATTCAGTAATGTTTATTAATTATTCAGTGACTACAACGGATTATTCAGTAACTGACAAAATTATGAAATAACTTTAATTATTCAGCAACTTTTGTGAATTATAAAGCAATTACTAGGAATTATTAGTAAATATATGAATATACATTATATATATATATATATATATACATATATATATATACACACACACATATATATATGAATTTACATCATTGATATGACTATGCTAATTATAAAGTAATTACTATGAATTAATAATAATGAATATTAATTATTCAGGTACTACTATGACTAATCAGTAACCTATATTCAGGAATTTCTATAAATTATTCAGTAATTACTTATTATTAAATACTATGAAGTAATCAGTAACTAATATGAATTGTTAGCAATGTTTCTGAAAGGAATACAGGAGTTCTGTAATTATGAGACTGAGGAACTGGAGTTTGTGGATCTTTAGGGTTTAATTTGTTAATTTGGTATGAAAAAGTGCACACACAACTGATAAAAACCAAGTAAGTGGGTCCACTTCTCGCTGGCAGCCGTTGTGCTCTCCGGCCGCAGCGTTACTGTGAGCAGAGCGGAGGACACTGAGCAGACAGTGGGCACAGGAAGTGGGAAGTGGGCACATTTTGGTTTTTATTGCATGCATGTTTGTGTGTATGTTTGCGTATGTGTTCACTTTTCTGCTAAAAGTGAATGTCTAGGTGTGAGAACAGATGACTGGGCCTGATAACATTGTATAGGCAATAAAAGCTAGTGTGTCCACTTCCCACTCACTATCAGTGTCCCCTCTCCTTGCAGTGGCAGCCACAGGAAGACCTTTAAAGCCCTGCATTTTGATGCTATCTCCAGCTCTCTGTCCCACACAGTGATGAAATCTCACTGTCCCGCCAAAGCCTGGCTCCTGCTCTTCCCCCATTAAAAAACATGTGTCATTGTGTCAGTTAAATAGTGGCTTTAAGGGGGGAGGGGGGCAGTAGGGTTGGTTGGAGGTTGGTAGATGACAGATAATTGTGTATACAGAGTGATGATTTTGACATAAAAGATAGTGATTTGAACACTGGCAATCCATTCTGAACTTTATTTCAATGAAAGCAAGAATGCATTTTAATTGTATTATGGCATAAGCAAATATGTATATATAATATATAATATATAAATGTTAAAAATCATAGCCACTTCATTTTGTGGCAAAAAATAAGCAACTTGTATGAGGTATTATTATTTATATTATTTTAAGAAAAACCAATGTGATACCATTTATCTATCTATAAGTAAAAAAGCAATGTCATTTTTTGTTTATTATAAACATGTAATTAAGAAATATAATTGCATGTATTTATTTATTGTGACATGTATTATTTAGTTGTTAATCTTGAAAACTTACTATTTCATAACTACTTTAAAATTACTCTGTAACTTCAATGAAAGTACTATGTAAATAAGTCTAAACCCTTAAGAGTTTAAAGAGTAAATGTATTCATCTCCTTGCCTATGCTAGAAAAAGATATGGGGGCAAATTCTTGTTTGAAGTTTGTTTTTTAGACATACATTTCAGAACAAATGATCCAAAAAGAAATATCCAATAACATGCATAGTTCTTACAGAAAGAAAAAAAAGGAAAATACTGCTTGTCTTAGCAACATCTGCACACAAAGCCTCACTTCATATTTAACAGTCTAAATGCTGACCTCAGATATTGTATCAACAGTTTTAATTTTCAATCTCATAATTATTAATCTTATCATTTTCAACCTCATAATAAATTTGTTGGAACTGTGATTTTATCATTTCTTTCATAGTTTCATGCTGGATTAAATGGATGGGTAGCAGAAGTTTTGGATGACAGTATTTTTTTGGTTATCCTGGTACCAACAAGGCTTGTTATCCACAAAAAGCACATTGGTTCACAGTGTACTGATTAATATTTAAACTAAGTATGTTTATATCAGAAAACCAGATAAGATATGCTGGCTGTGGTGCAAAGGCCCAATTGTGTTCCATTCATCTGTCAATTTAGGTTATAATGTAGTCCTCATCCAGTACACAGAGGCCAAGACACTTTCTATAAAATAAAGGTGCCAAAAGGATTTTCTGGAGCGATGCCATGGAAGGACACCTTTGTGTCCCCTAAATAACCCTTTGATTGGAAGATTCCTTAGGGAACCAAACATAGTTCTTCTATTGCATCTCTCCAAAGAACTCTTTTAGTGCCCTTTATTTTTAAAGTAGTACATACAGTCCTAAGGCTACTCAACAGTTCTCGCCGACTCCCATGTCGTCCACTTTGGTCTGTAGATGGCGCTGTGAAAGGTAGTGTCTGAGAGTGTCCACTTCATGGCTAAGCTGTTCGATGGTCAGCTGTAGCCTGTGGTTTTCCTCCTCCAGTTGCAGCGCCCTTTGCTGGGTCAGCAAGATGCGGCGGCGGGCTTTATCACGGCTCTTCCTCACGGCGATGTTGTTCCGCTCCCGCCGCATCCGGTACTCGACACTGTCCTTACTCAGGCTCCTCTTCTGACCTGGCTGACGGAGTGTGGATGGAGGAGGAGGAAGAAGGAACTGGGAAAAATCCTTTACAAGTTCACAGAAGAAACAGACAGAACACAACATGACCGTGTGAATACAAAGCAGTAGTGTCACATGATTAGCAGTAAATAGGTTACTATTAGACAATACAGGACATCACCTTCACCAAGTAAGTGTGTGTCTTAAGTAGGGTTTTCTGCGGTGATGTCATAGAAAAATCACTTTTGGTGACCTAAAAAAGTGGTTCTCAAACCAGTCATCAGGGACCCCTAGACAGTCCAGCATTTTTGCTCTATCTGTATGTATTGTGAGTTGAGTTGAGTAAACTGTCTGTGGTCCATGAGGAACCACTGACCGAAAGAATGTTTCAATAGATGGTTCTTTAAAGAACTAGCTGTCCAAAGAAAAACATCTCCATTTTGTCAATTTTTATTTTTCTACATTATTTCAACACACCAGTTGTCCTTTATGTTGCTAATTTCATGATGAATAATAGAAATGCTCTAAAGTTATTTAGAATAACTTTACTCTTTACATTAACTTACATTGAAAGGTATGAGTGTTTTTGCCTTTTCTTGTAAAGTTACTATTTTGCATATATATGTATGTATATATATATATATATATATGTGTGTGTGTGTGTAAAATAACACTCTATTGGCCGTTATGAAATTTTCACATTTTCACACAAAAAGCGCCGTAAAGGCTATGTTTTCAAATTATGCAACAGCAAGCAAACAAACAAAAAACCCACAAAAATGGAAAAACAAGATTTTGTTCAAACTGTGGCAATGAAAACTGTATAAGAGGGGTTTTGTACCAAAATGCATTACAGACCACTTTCAAGAATTTTCTTTTCTTTTTTTGTTGATATATGTTGTTTACTTGGAGTGAGTATGCTTTACACATACAAAGTATCTCTGCTATATTATGATTAATATCACCTTTATTAGAGCTGTTATCCTTGCATAAACTCCTCATACTCAAAATAGTTACAAATGAATATACAGCATATACAGACACCCTTCATATATAAGAACACTAGTTTTACCTGTTGCACAATGTGGCCGTGCTGCGCTGCTCTCTCTGAGGCTGTCAAACAGCTCGAATACGGCAAGTACGCCAACCCCATCATCGGCTCCCCGCTCCTGTTGTCAGTCGTCCTGGGCTGACCACCCATTAAATGGCTGTATGGCCCTCCGTCCATCTGAGGCATGTGCCCAGCCAGAGAACTGGGTGACGATGTGGTTGAGTCAGGAGTCAAGGTCAAGGTGTTGACCACAGAGGAGGAGGTGTGATTGTGGGATGAGAAGAGGAGAGAGGAAGAAGAGCTGTGTGAGACTGACATCTGAGGAGAGTGAAAAAAAAAAAAACAGAGATAAGAAACTCAGACTAAACAACGTAAAGCATGTCTGCGTTCAGAGTGAACAGAATTCCCCACAGTTCAGTAACAAAGATGTTGGTCCTTTTAATAATAATAGGATGTAATATAATAGTAAATACATTCAATACTCAAACTCAAATGATACAGTTAGACGGTTGTGAAAAGCTCTCACCTTTAATTTCCACTTCTTCAGTAAATGTTCCACTCTCTTGCATCCAAACTTCGTGGGTCTGTCCACAAAATCCGTTATGATACAGGTACCAAAGTGATCGTGACACCATCACTTCCTCTGTCACAACCCCTCTCTCTCTTTCTCTCTGTCTCTCTCTCTCTCTTCCTTTGCATCACACGTTGACTTATTTGTTTCACCATCTTTCCTCTAATCTACTCGCCAGATGACCCTGCTCACATCTGTCTAGAGTATAAAGACAGTCAATATTCACTTCAGACGAAAAGAAGTATTGTTTTAATTCTCTGAAGTTGTAGTAATTCAAATATCTGATAAAAGGGGGTGAATCGTTCTACCATTGCAGCAGTAAGTGGTGTCTCACACCAAGTCATTAAAATAAAAGAAGAGGAAGAAGAAACAAAGTTGATGACTGTGAACTTGACCTGAACCTAAAAAACTATAATAATTTTACTTTTATTTTTAGTGATTTTTTGTGATGTTGTGAATGAAAAGCAGGATGTCACAGCAGATACTGAGGTATTATTTTTCAGTTTAAATTGTAAAAATGCATTAAAATTGTCTGTCCTGTGTTTTTATATATATAAAAAACACAGTATATATAACAGTATATAGTATATAAGTAAAAAATTATTTTGATATTAAATAAGTCTCAAGATATTTTTTCAGTGGTGTTACAGAAACATAAAACATTGTTTACAAAAATTCCTTCTTTTTCACCACGTCTTGTGGTTGGTACAGTGTAGTGGGTAACACCTCTGCCTTCTACACTGTAGACTGGTGTTCAATCCCCCGCCTGGGTAAGCACCCTACACTAGACCAATAAGAGTCCTTGGGCAAGACTCCTAACACTACCATAGCCTACCTGTGTAAAATGTAAAAATTGTAAGTCTCTCTGGATAAGAGTGTCTGCCAAATGCCATAAATGTAAATGTATGGATATCTCAATGGAAGAAGGAGTAACTCTGAGAAGTCCACTGTCTTTTAAATTTTGGCTAAAATAATGACAGCTTCATGTGTCACAGAAAGATTATGTCAGTGGTGTTTCTCAGGAAGCATTAAGTGCTTTTAAAATTTAAATAAAACAACAACATGAATGCAATATTTGTAACTTTCTACATATAATGTGAGTTATAACTAACGTGTGAGCAGACTTTAATGGTGTTCCATATCACACACTATGTTATACACTTATTGAAACTTTCTGTCAGGACTCTGACCTACATTTATCAAGGCCCTCAGAGTGACAGAAATAGTTTATGATCAGTTTTCCCCTCCATTTAACTTATTTGCTTATTAGGCTAAACCTAATCCAATCTGCACTAATACTAATACATTTGAATAGAAAAATAAGCTGCAGCAGCATAAAACTGCAGCACTTGTGAATCCAGTAAGAGGACTACTAGTTGAAAGTTGAGCCTCACTGACCAAGACAGACAGACAAAAATAGGGGGAGTTGCTAAAATACACTGTTCACCAGCTTCAAATGATGCTGATCTTATTTCAAACCTCTCTGAAAACTGATTCCAATCAAAGCTAATGTTCAAAAGAAAAAAAAACAATGAACAAAATACATAACCCCATGTAATCAGCTTAGATGTATGTCTGACCTTTCTCTACATCTGCCTGGGACACTGGTTTATTGAGAAAAGCCAAAGGAAGTCACTAAGCCACACACACTTCTCTGCGCCTGAGTGTGTGATAGCGAGACAGTTCTTCGTAAAAACGGTTCGGTTTCCCACTTGTTCCCCATTTTTTCTAAACAAGAAAGACTGAAGTTTTTCTGAAAATAGTCCTCCTCATCTCTCCTCAAAATGCATATTACCATTCATTTCATTGTGTTTCATTATTTGATGTTTTTTGTGAATTAGAGCGCACTCTCAAAATGAAGAACCTTAAACTGTTCCTGGTTTGAGTATCGCTGTTGTCGGAAGAAACCTTGCATCTCCAAAATGGTAACTTTACAGGAGAAGGAAAAAACATACTTTACTTTTAATGTAAGTCAGTGGAACCAGGCATTTTTCCAAGTCATTTTGGGGCATTTCTTTTGGTCCATTCATCATATTTACATACAATGTAAAGAACAACAGGCATTTTCAAACTATGTAAAAAACTGGAAAATAAAAAAAAAGAAGATACAAGGTTTTGTTCGGACAGCAGCGAAATGCAGCTCTCAGAAAGTTAAAACCTAGTTTAGAATTGGGGAGCCAAAACTTATTGTCTAAGGGGAGCCAAAGTGTGATGTTTGTGGTGAGTTGAGGGCCAAAAAGACTTTCTGGTGGGCCAACTCAAACATCTTCATGGGCCACACTTTGGGCAGCCATAGTATAGAACTGTTACATTTTGTGGAGGGTCTTTCAACTTTAAAAGGTTCTTCACTCACATCACATTTACAAAAATGTTTCCATTGAAAAGTTCCTCAGGGAACCGGTAGGATTACAAGTCATCTATACTGGCATACAGACACTGACATTGTAATATTTTATAGTTTTAGTAATATTTTTAGTGGTATATTTGGCAGCTAATTAGCACTATATCCATGATATGATGCCCATAAAATAACAGCATCCATGTTGTCAAGCAGTTTGTTTTAGTGTTTTAATGCTATTTTGAGCATTTTTCTCAGGGGAATTTGGGACCTGACAGTTAACTGCAATGTATGTTATTTACAGGGTGCTTCATATTCTTTTAAAGAACAGTTTAAAATTCATAAAAATTAAATAAATAGTTTTCATTCTAAAATGTCCTTTCTTTCTGGTTAATGTTTACAAAACTTTTTATGGTTTCCTTTGGTGTAAAGAAAATGAAACAAAACCGTCCAATCAAAACAAGCTATTTTGGGTTTGTAAGCCATTATTATTATTTTAGCATAAAGTACAAGAAAATAGGAAGAATGGGTTGAGTAACTTTATTAATGTATATACTTAATGATCACCTGATATCATCATTTTGTGCTATTTGGAAAATATTGTGATATTAAATTTGATATATATTGTTTACAGGCCTACTGAAGAATCACACTCTCATCAAGGCTTCAACAGATTTTGGGGTCTTTGATTCAAAAAGTACTGGGCTTTCAAGCCATTTGCTGCAAAAGAAACAGAAAATAATTAATTATGTGAAACAGACATTGACATTCTGCAGTAAACTAAATCAGTCCATTAACTCTTACCAGTAAAAAATTCTTCAGCAGAAAAAAAGAGAAAACTTACAAAGTACAGCCAGTCCAAGAAGAATGACACACGAGTGAAGACTGTTGGCTTTTTATAAGTGTTGCAATTAAAAGCAGAGCCATAGCTAACCACACCGTGTACCCTCCAATAACCATCAGTGTAGCAGCTCAGAGGTCCACCGGAGTCACCCTGAAACAGTTCAAATGACCCACAGACATAAAATTTTTCAGAAAGTGAATTTTTAAGGGACCCAATTCTACATATTTCTTGTTTTATTCTTCCCCTCAAATGCACCAATAAGGTTTGTGAGGTTCATAAACCAAAAACAGTTTGAACAGTTCTTCCGCCAATCAGTGATCACCAATTCACTCTCCCCTTTGAGGCAAAGATGTACAGAAGAGACGAGTGTGTGAGGGGTGGGTGGGTAATGGTTGCTCCACCACCCCTGCTCTTAGGGAGTTTTTCCTTGCCACTGTCGCCACTGGCTTGCTCATGGGGGCTTGGATCCGGATTTTTCTTTCTGTGATGCTGATTTTTCTGTAAAGCTGCTTTGCGACAATACCTGTTGTAAAAAGCGCTATATAAATAAAC